TGCATGGCAATGGTAACAAAATCTATGAGAGTAAAAAAAACATGCACAGACAAATCCAAATTAAACCTTGCAGCTCGTGACGACACATTATGTCCAACTGTCTTTGAGCGCTCGCACGGCATCCGGTGCGTGAGGTATGTACGCGCTCTGGCGTAGTTTACGCGAGTGCCGGAAGTGATCTCTCGCGCATATGCGTCACGCATTGTTTACACAGTGCACAAACATTGTAGGTACGACGGCTAATCAAAATGGCACTTTATTCCCAACTTCTGAGCCTGCTCGCCTGAAGTTATGGTTGATTGCTCTTCGGCTGGATATCAACACACTCTTTAACGTAAACTACGCCAGAGCGCGTACACACCTCACGCACCGGATGCCTTGCACGCGCACAAAGCAGTTGCACATAGTGGTGTATTAGAGGTAAAAAATGATATAAATACTGTTGGGTTTCTGGCACAAACCGATGGTTTCGTGTCTTAGGACATCAATGTGTCGTCGCGAGCCGCAGGGTTTAATTTGGATTTGTCTGTGCATGTTTTTTTTACTCTCATAGATTTTGTTACCATTGCCATGCATTATACGACTGACAGACTGCAACGGCTGGAGTTAAAAATCATAATTTGTGTTCTACATCACATTTACATTTTTGGGTGAACTATCCCTTTAAACTTGGTGCTGCGCATCCGGAGAGAGAGAGAAAGCGCACGGAGCTGAAAGGGCTCGAATAAAGTGCATTTAGCTTTTGATAAAAATACCAGAGGATATAGTGCTGAAAGATATTTACCATAAACGACCCTGAGCGCTTGTTATGTGATCCGCTCCGCTGTTTTGACGCACCGTTCACTTAAAATGGTGCTGTGTTACGGCTCGCGGTCCGGATGGATGCCGGGGTGCGGATGCGGTCCGCCTTTTGAACATCAGTTATATAAGTATTTAAGGATAAAAGACTCGAGTTGCTTTTAAAATTGTCACGATTCCTTTTCCTCGAGTCGAGTCAAGTCTGGAGTCTATAAAAATGCGACTCAAGTGCGACTCGAGTCCGAGTCACTAACTCGAGTGCCCATCTCTGGTTTGAGACTGAAAATGTGAAAAGCATTTTGTATTGTCTCATATATTTCCAAACATTGTTTTGCTGCTGAGAGAGAAAACCCCCCCAAAATCTACAGGTTCCAGACCAGATCCTTAACCCTCATAATATAATAAAATCCTTAAAAATAATCAAAATCTGTGATTGTTTCACATTATGAAGAATAGTGATTTTATAAAACAGTCATAACCCTATATTTTTCCAATTCATTCATATCGTGTCAGATCAGCAACTTCTCATTAACGAGTGAATGTGAAAAAAATCTAAGTTTTGAATGTTTTCATTTCATTGCTGCATTTACTGTTTTTAATAATTAAAATTGAGATTTTTTTCAGTTTTAAAATGACGCATGAACTACACCAAGAAAAACTACAGTGAAAAAAAATCATTGTATGAAATTTATAAGAACATATAATCACAGAATTACTGGAATGAATGGAATTTAATTAAATTCCTTTATTAATGTATAATTAATAAATGATTTCTCAAAAACAGTACAAATTTATGAACCCTACATATTTATTTCTATCAAAACAACATAAATATTACTCTGAAATAATAAACTAAACTTTCACTTTCAGATTAAAACGTTTTCAGTTTTTATGCTGCAGTGCAGGGACAATTCTATATATATATAAATAAAATAAAAAATGTTTGATTAATAGGGGTCGTATACTAAACGTATTGCAGCATTCCACTGTATTGCGTAGATAGGTATAACATTTGAGTACTGAATAAGCCAAATTCAAGTCTTCATGATCTCACACACACAACCTGTTTACTGTACAAACACAACATTTTATAAACACCTTAGCTCAAGTATGCACACCTCTTTGCCACATGCACTGGAATATGTATTACATTGAAAGTTCATTTTCAAATGAAAATGGCAACATGATCGTTTTTTTAAAGTATGCGTTCATATGTGCTTCATTGTCGCTGGAGGAAACAGCTGTGGTGTGATGAGGGGTGAACGCAGTGACAAAAAGGCTACAGTAGATGGGGAACCGATTATTGCTCCCCCGTGATATTTGGTAAACTGGATTTTTGACAAAGAACTGCACAGATGCAGATATTATAACAATTTATCGATAAGCACACACCTTGTCCTCTGTTTCTCGATCTGCGCCGCCGCGCACTGCGGATTGAAAAAGAACGCACTGAAAGACGGGGAGGAGCCGATCGAAGTCTGCCGCAGTTTTCATATGAAATTTAAAGTGGACCGAGGCGATCACGAATTTGTGTGCAATTTATGGAGATTTTAGGGGGGCTGAGTAGTCATTTTAGAATTCCCTAAAAATGGCCTAGCGACGCCCATGCTGCAGTGGTTCATCAATAGACATACATATTCATGTCCATCAACAAAATTCATCCCAAAAAGTGTGTGAGATATGGAAAAAAAACAACATATATTTTACAAAAGTTTTTGACACTAATAGGACTCCATACACAATTGTAGAATTTTTTTTTGACACTGTTGGTACTCCATACATACCTGGGTCAAAATGATCGGAACATGAAACCTGCAACATCTTTTAAAAAATAACTAAATAAATCTTTTAAAAAAAGATGAGTATTTCAAAGTTCTTAAAGCATTTGCAAAGTTTTGTTCCCTTACTAAAGACTATGCATTTTTATTTTTTTTTTTTAGAAATTGTATGCATCTCTTTAGTGTCCAAACAGTCTGGAATGCATTATAAGGGTTAAATCAGGATTTTCTGTGTCAAGCAGCGTTTTATTATGGTCTGCTTTCTGAACTCCAGGCCAGACTAATCATCCGTAATGCAGGCACCGAGGTCACGTCGATGTTATTAATCTGCGTTAAGCCAGAGACACAGTATTCATGCTGTAATATGTTTAATAGATGACAGATTAACAGCTAACCTGCATTCAGAGCTCCTCCAGTCGCTCACAAACAACACAGAGACAAAAAACCCACAGACAGCAAACAGACATAATGAAATCGTCTCAGAAGCCGATTGAATGTGACCCTTGACCCCTTTTAGTGATTGTTAATGAACCCATTCATCATCATTGTTTCATATTAGTTTACTGAAATACTGAAATGGATTGTTTGATTATTAATGGATTATTATTATTTGATCTTCACAAGCAACAGCGTGACTGAATTATTAACAATCAATGACACATAAAACTCTCAAATACTGAACTCTTCTATGAGTTTGAACTATTATTGGTTATCGATTTTTTATGACATACAGTACTGTTCAGAAAGAAATTAATACTTTTATTCCTCAAGGATGCACTAAATTGATCAAAAGTGTCAGTAAAGACATTTATAATGTTACAAAAGATTTCTATTTCAAATAAAACTTTCTGTTCAGCTGTGAATCCTGAAAAATAAAATGCATCACCGTTTCCACAAAAATATTGTGCAGCACAGCTGTTTTCAACATTGATAATAATCAGAAATGTTTCTCGAGCAGCAGATCAGCATATTATACTGATTTCTGAAGATCATGTGACACTGAAGACTGGAGGAATGATGCTGAAAATACAGCTGCGCATCACAGAAATACATTACAGTTTAACAGAGATTCACATAGAACACAGCTGTTTTAAATTACAAAACTATTTCACAAATTGTACTGTATTTTTGATCAAATAAATGCAGCTTTGGTGAGTAGAAGAGATTTATTTTTATCAAAAACATTAAAAAACTAAATATCCTGTTTCATTCAATGTGTTACTTTTCGTTTCTGTGTAATTGGTTAGCTGGGCCAGTGTGTGCTGTGATTGGTTAGCTGGGCCAGTGTGTGCTGTGATCGGTTAGCTGGGCCAGTGTGTGCTGTGATCGGTTAGCTGGGCCAGTGTGTGCTGTGATCGGTTAGCTGGGCCAGTGTGTGCTGTGATCGGTTAGCTGGGCCAGTGTGTGCTGTGATCGGTTAGCTGGGCCAGTGTGTGCTGTGATCGGTTAGCTGGGCCAGTGTGTGCTGTGATCGGTTAGCTGGGCCAGTGTGTGCTGTGATCGGTTAGCTGGGCCAGTGTGTGCTGTGATCGGTTAGCTGGGCCAGTGTGTGCTGTGATCGGTTAGCTGGGCCAGTGTGTGCTGTGATCGGTTAGCTGGGCCAGTGTGTGCTGTGATCGGTTAGCTGGGCCAGTGTGTGCTGTGATCGGTTAGCTGGGCCAGTGTGTGCTGTGATCGGTTAGCTGGGCCAGTGTGTGCTGTGATCGGTTAGCTGGGCCAGTGTGTGCTGTGATCGGTTAGCTGGGCCAGTGTGTGCTGTGATCGGTTAGCTGGGCCAGTGTGTGCTGTGATCGGTTAGCTGGGCCAGTGTGTGCTGTGATCGGTTAGCTGGGCCAGTGTGTGCTGTGATCGGTTAGCTGGGCCAGTGTGTGCTGTGATCGGTTAGCTGGGCCAGTGTGTGCTGTGATCGGTTAGCTGGGCCAGTGTGTGCTGTGATCGGTTAGCTGGGCCAGTGTGTGCTGTGATCGGTTAGCTGGGCCAGTGTGTGCTGTGATCGGTTAGCTGGGCCAGTGTGTGCTGTGATCGGTTAGCTGGGCCAGTGTGTGCTGTGATCGGTTAGCTGGGCCAGTGTGTGCTGTGATCGGTTAGCTGGGCCAGTGTGTGCTGTGATCGGTTAGCTGGGCCAGTGTGTGCTGTGATCGGTTAGCTGGGCCAGTGTGTGCTGTGATTGGTTAGCTATTGGTTAACACTTTGGACTACAACACATATCCCGGAAAATGTCGTTCGTTGTAGTTTTTGAAAAGTGATTTCTGTTAAATAAAATATCTCCTTTTGAATTGGACTTTGAGCTTTATAACTTTGCAGATCTTTTTTATGCTCAACCAGCAACATTACAGACTAACTAAAGCTGAAAAAGCATAATAGGACCCCTTTAAAGTAAAGCTGGTGTGCAGTGCAGATCAGACGACTGATGTTTAATCGTACCGCTGTATGTGACGACTCTGGTGCTGGAGTCTCCCTCTCCGAAGCGTGTGATGGGCGTCAGTCGAACCACGTACGCCTCGGGTCGGATGAGCTCCGTCAGATTATGAGTGATCAGCTCTCCTTTCTGGATGTTTCCCTCCACGGGAATATCCTGCTCCCACCAGCGCTGCTGCCCCGTCTGGAGGAGAGATGAGATTGAAATGATCCAAAAATATAACGCAGTGATTGAGAGCTGAAGAAATAAAGGCTCCTCAGAAGATGTGAGATGTTCTGGAGGCTTGTGAAGATCATTCCTCCGCTGAGGAACAGTGAAAGTAAAGCTTCTGGAAACAAACGCTCCTCAAAAGATCCTGAGGATCAGATTTGAGACTCTAAAACATGATTGATGGAGAATCAAGTAAAGCTGAGCTGCTTCAGTCCAGTAAGTGTTCATCTGGAGATATTACTGACGTTATTCTGACCTTTACTTGAGAAAAATCAGTCAAGATTCACAGCAGAAAGACACGAGAAGCACGAGCTGAAGCTGGACATTTGTACAATTACACTAAAAGAGCTTTGACTGGATAAAAAAACTCTAAACTATCAATCAGACGTGGTGAGCAGAAGAGACTTAAAGCAACTTTAAAAATCTCGGCAAGCGGAAATAAAATAAGTTCACTTTTTATACATATTTTTATATTTGTGTGTGTGTATGTAAAAGAATGCACTAAAACAAAATAAATAAGTAAATGCACTAGAAAAACATTTACAAATTAATAAACACACACACACACACACACACACACACACACTATAAATATAAAATTAATTATAATAATAAAATGCACTACAAAAAAAATGCAATTAATATTAAGATACATAAAAAATATATAAAATACAATATAAAATTAACTGAAATAATAAATAAAATAAAATGTAATGTTGACCTAAAAAAAGTACCAAAAATAAAAAATGCACTGAAAAATTATACTACAGGGCACCATGGCATACTATTTCCAACATGCTATGATAAACACATGAATAAAGAATGCAAAATAAAGTAATATAACATATTATAAAATAAAATAAAAAAAGCTTTTAAATTAAGATACAAGCAAGTTGAAATAAAATTCATTAAAAAAATATGATTGAACCAGTTCACTGAATCAACTCTAATGCTTCTTCAATCATCCAATATACCATAAATGTTCACTCTTAAAAAGGAAGATTTGAAAGGTTTTTTCCCCCAGAGTGATGACAGAAGAATAGTGTGAAGAACAGTTTAGTCATCTGAAGTACCTTTTTTTTGCAATGAAAATCCCTAAATCTTATTCTATTCTATTCTATCTATAGCACAACTGTACATAAAATGTATTTTTTTTTCAATTTATTTTTCTATTTTTGTTTATATTTACATAAGTGCATTTTTATTCTCATCTTATTTTTATTGTCTGTGTGTTGTTGTTGTCTCTGTGCACGGGAAGCCTGTGACACTAGTGCAAGCATACTAGACAATAAAGTTATTTCTGACTTCTGACTTGAAGGTCCTTCAATGCCAAACAGTTTATAACAAAAACAGTGTAGTGTTTAATTGCTCTTAGACAATTGCATAAATCTATGAAGGGCACAAATGTTCATAATGATGATCTTCACTAATTCAATGATGAACTGTCTTTAACTGAAAAATTAGTGTTTACTATTGTCATTTTGCATTATTGACACTATTTTCCTAATTAATGCTGTTCAGTTGCTTTGTCACAATCTGTATTGTTAAAAGCGCTATATAAATAAAGGTGACTTGACTTGACTAATGATTCACCTGTAATCATCACCCAAAGATCAAAATATAATCAATAGACGATAGAATCAGATATAGTAATATATTTTAAGGTGATTATCAAATTTTTTTTTTTACATGCAAACCACTGCGATCCTGCGGCGCTCACCTGTCGGATCCCGAGGCGGTAGGCCATGATCCGGTCCACGGCACTCGGGTTCATCTGCGTCCACTGCAGCTTATAGCCATAAACACGCGGCCGGTTCTGCCACAGCGGGCTATAGGTGTCATAATAAAACTCTGGTGTTTTGTGGCTGTAAGCACTTTATAATAGCTGTGGGTAATAGTTCTAGACACCAGATATAATTTTTATATTTTGTTACTAGTGGGTGCAGGACACTATAGCTCATTTATGTAAGTGAGGATAGCAAAATAAAGTAAACTCTGACAAACTCTTCATACAGTGGACTAACAGTAAACTTCGGGAGCAGTAATAATTCAGACACTTTGAGCTGAGCATGTGTTTCTGAAGTGTTTTTCTTTAATTGCTAATGTGATCTTTCTACACCACAGACTGAACAGAATGAAGCACTGCTTGGTAATTAGTTGAGCTAAATGGGTTTTATCTCATTGTGTTCTTAAATGTAACAGCTGACAGCTATTCAACCGAATTCATTACATACCTTTCTATCAAAGTTATCTGAGATTATCAAGATGAGTTTGTTCTGACTCTGAGTTCTTCTCATATTTTATTACCATTTGCTAAACTGTAGCGAATAAACTGTGATATAATGTGAGAAATGTTGAAGGTGTCTGAATACATTTTGGTTTGACTGTAGTTCTTGATGAAGTTTCTCAGGTTTGCTCTCCTCAGGACTTCAGACCCACAGATGTCCTCACAGCCGGCTCAGACCGGATCACTGTAAACCAGCGCCTCTGATCCGGCCTTAAACCGCTGGAGAAGATCTCAGAGTTTCTCTGCACGAGCGACCGGATCCAAGAACACCGGAACATCTGAACTCAACCTGGACAACATCTTAGAGAACAGCACCTTTCACAGAGTAATACACTCTAAAAAATGCTGGCTTTTCCGTCATTTTTCCAGTAAAGCACCCATTACGACCCAAAACCAACTTCAGCTCGTTGAATCTAATCAGAGAGGCAAGGACCGAACATATATGAAAATCACAGACAAAGTTGCGAATTTAACTTATGCGCAAAATTGGAATATCGCATAAAACATTTGCGAACAGGCACTGTTTCCATCCAATGAGTCAAAGAGAACAAAATAGTCACTTCCTGAAAAAAAGGCACTATAAATCACTAAGAAAAGTAGGAGAAGCTACTGAATATAATAACTTTCATATACTGTATAATAAATGACTTGCGCCTCAGAGCGAGCAGGCGAAACACAATGAAAGCGGTCATTGCTTTCGGAGGTGGATGCTGCTGTTTGGGAACGCAGTCGTGTAAGACATTTCTGGGAGAAATACTTTGTTGACAGACTTTGCTCGGGCGTTTCAGAATGACCAAAACAACATTCCAGATGCTGTGGAACGAGATCGGTCCGCTGGTTAGTCAGGTTTTGCCGTCCCATAGTGCAAAGTCACGTGACTGGAGAAATGTATTCGCAAAATGCATTTCCATCTCCGATTATTCGCATTAACCCTCGTCAAAAACCACCTCAAGCGAGTGTAAAAACGTTTTTGCGAATTAAGGGATTTTTATTCCAAATTTGACGTTTCCATCATTCATTTCTCATGGGATACTTCAAAATGCGCATTAAAATAGGGTCATGGAAACATAGCTAATGAAGCTTTGACATCTATTTACACCATAAGATTTAATATCCAAAGGCAAAAGAAACGAACAAACAACAATATATCCACAAATATCCACCTTTTTCTTGTTGTAAAAATGGGCGCGGCCATTTCCGGTCTAATCTGCATCCAGCTATTTTTAGCTGTACAAATCAATTCGTTTGCTGCTTGATATTGAAAATTGGTGTGTCTTGTCATATTATTTTATTGTATTATCTTATTTATGAACACACTGGTTTGTAGTGCAAACAGTTTTACCGTTTACTGCACGTTGTTATTCTCCTCGTTATTTACCTACAGCGGTAAATGATCCGGAAGTCTCACCCATAGGCTTACTTCCGCGTAGAAGAAAAAAGTGGATACTGTAATTAACAAAAGATTAGCACAAATAATAACAGTAAACACGTAGGGCTGCTAGGAAAACAGAAAACCTTCAGTGTAAAAAAAATTATAGGAACTACAGAAAAACTGTAAACACATTTATGGCCAAAAATGGTAAAATTTACAGTATAAAACTGTAATTTACAAACAAGAAGATTCGAATGTAAACCAGTAAATTCAACAACTCACACTGCTATTAAAATCTGTTTTGTGCCTTTAACATACTGACAACCACTATAAATGCAATAAACATTCATTAAACAACAGAAGGTGTAACATAAAGCCCAAACGTACATAACTGATAACAAAAACTATAAAAAAAAACATGATTATTTAAACAAAATACTTTAAAATGTGGAGTGTCACGCAGGGAATTCTGGGAATATCAGTTTACAGTTTTTGACTGTAAATTATACATTGATTTGTTCTTATTTACTTCTAAAAACTGTACAATTAACAGCATTTTACTGTAAAATTACATTAAATGTCTGGCTAGATCTTTTACAGTTTGTCCCTGTATATAGTACATGTATGTAATATGTAATATGTAAAATAGATGTCGAAAATAAATTAGTCAAAAAAAAGTAATTTTTGTCAAACGTTCACATTCATGCAGCTTCTTATGGCCCAGAGATAACATATTACATGACTTTAAACTGAACCGGAGAAAATGCGTCATCTGCGTCAGAATGTTATGAATGTTATGATTGGCCCTGAACTCGTAAATGCTCATATCAGTTATCTCGTTCTGCGTTCGCATCTATATATCTACAGTGTTGGGAAGGTTACTGTGGAAATGTAACAGGTTACAGATTACAAGTTACACTATCTAAAATGTGATTACTTTCTTAAAGTAATGTAACTGATTACATTTGATTACTTTTTAATTGCTTTTCTAAATTTCTAATGTTTTCAGCTGTTAATCACATTAACATTTAAAGCAGGCAGGGTTAACATTACTGTCAGACTTTTAAAATTCTTCATCACTTGAATTAAGATTGTAATAATTGAATTTTAAAGCAAAGCCACCACTTTACTTTGAGATCGTTCTGAGGTTAAATACAGATTTAAAATCATAACAAGAAATAGTGTAATAGCTATGATACTGTTTTTGAAATCAAATCTTTGCACAGCTATGAAATGAAACACTGGAATCTAACAATGCCTTGGAAACAAAACAGTTAATCTTAAAAAATAAAGCATATATCAAATTGGCATGTGCCATATTCTGTGTCTCCTGAAACATTGCTGTCTCATATTTTAGAGCAGTCAGTGCATTTTGGGAAAGAAATCAATCAAATCTGTATGTATGTGAAAAAAAAAATTCAGAGGGAACCCCCATTTTTTCACAGAAACTGTAACTGATTACAATTACATTTATTTAGTGATTAAATTACGTAATTACGTAATCTAGCTACTTGTAAATTAAAGTACATTGAAGTTACCCTTCTGAAAAAGTAGCTAGCTACATTGAAACTACTTTACATTTTTATTTTATTTTTTTTTTGTACAATAAACATTACAAATAACTGAATACTTGTTAATGAAGAATTATAATGAAGTTATAAGTAAAATATAATAAAGTTATAAGTAAGATATTTGGGGTTTAAAATAATGTATTGTAATGCAATGCAATTCTGGTTGATTGGGACACTTTTTCCAAGTAATTTCAATGATAAAAAGTGTCCCAATCATTTTGTAGGACTATCCGATACACACAATAATAAAATATAGTTATATGGTTACATTATCTCAAACTGACTGTCAAAGTGCAAAATTATGATAAACACACTACTATATCGTGATTTCACTTTTTCTTTGATTAGTGTTCATTACAAAACTGTGGGGGACAGATTATATTATGACGGTTCATCATTGTAAAATAGACGTTTGATATTGAGTGCAATAAATCAGGTAAATTAATCCGTTTTAAATCAGTGTCGGGATATCACCACAGATGGCGGTAATGAAAAAAATTAGTTTGTGATCTAGTCAGAAGCTTCAATGCATTACAGGCTCGTGAGTCAGAACACAAAACAGAATGGGGTCACGCTACACCGCTACTTGCTGGAAAAAGCAGTTAGCTACTGGAAAAGCTACACTGTTTTAAAAGTATCTATCTATCTATCTATCTGTCTGTCTGTCTGTCTGTCTGTCTGTCTGTGTATCTGTGTGTCTGCCTGTCTGTCTGTCTATCTATCTATCGTCTATCTGTCTGTCTGTCTGTCTGTCTGTCTGTCTGTCTGTCTGTCTATCTATCTATCTATCTATCTATCTATCTATCTATCTATCTATCTATCTATCTATCTATCTATCTATCTATCTATCGTCTGTCTGTGTGTCTGTCTGTGTGTCTGCCTGTCTGTCTGTCTGTCTATCTATCGTCTGTCTGTCTGTCTGTGTGTCTGTGTGTCTGTCTATCTGTCTGTCTTTCTGTCTGTCTGTCTGTCTATCTATCGTCTGTCTGTCTATCTGTCTGTCTGTCTGTCTGTCTGTCTGTCTGTCTATCTGTCTATCTTTTGTCTGTCTGTCTGTCTATCTATCTGTCTATCTATCTATCGTCTGTCTGTCTGTCTGTCTATCTATCTATCGTCTGTCTGTCTGTCTGTCTGTCTGTCTGTCTGTCTTTGTACATGACCTTAAAATCTTCAATCTTCAAGCTTTTAAAACTTCTGCTATCTTCTGCTCAGGCTGTCTCGAGTTTCTTGTCTAGTCTGGTCTATTATAATCAGATTTGTTGAATAAAGTCCATCAAGTTCAGAATGAAAAGAATAGATAACACAGTGAAATGATGCACCTTTCATTCGTGAAGGTCTTACTTCACTGGATTCTGTAAAACAGGCACTGAAACATGATTATGAAATACACAAAACACTGAACTGAATGTACTGATTCTGATACTGTCACTGTGACGTGAGTCAAAGCATCATCTCATACGCGCAGAGTAAATTAATGCAATATGTTTGCAGTGAGAACAAACGTAGATCCATTACACCTGCAGAGAACCGGGCAAGATCTGCGGATCAGAGCCAGATCAGCGCTCTCTCTGGCAGAATGACTGGCACATGAGAGACGCTTCATGATGATCATCTACACTGAACTACAGAGCCAAACACAGCAGAGAAACACTCCAGCAGCGTCGTGTCTGAGGGACAAACTCCAGTCGCTCACACATGGATATCAGACATCAGTCCTGGGCATAGCAAAACCCTAGCAACAGCATAACAACCAAGTACACCGTAGCAACCTGGCTGAAAAGATCAAACAGTTGCTAGTTGGTTCAGGGGCAGTTCTAGACCACAGTAACTGGGGGGGGGGGGGCAGACAGGGGCCACTGGGGTTTTTGGGGGGCACAATTTTAAAATTAATCTTAAACTACTTTAAGTAGCCTATTATTCATTCAGTCATTTTTCACCATGTCATGTATCGCTGCAGTCAAGATGTAATCTATAACAATTTCAACTAAAATGAATGTTTCATCATGTTTCATTTATTTGACAAATAATTTTGTATTGTAGTGTCAGAGGCATCATTTTTGAGGTGGCACGAATAAAGGGGGGGGGAGGCTCTCATGCTTGTCATATGACACACAGCAGCCACAAACAGATATAGGCGGGGGTCTCTCATGCTTGTCATATGACACATAGCAGCCACAAACAGATATAGGCTTATGTCGCTACTGAAAAATAAAATAAAATAAAATAAAACAATAAAAAATCCAAACTGTATGCTAATTGTCAATCATCTTTGACGATAGTGGTCCTGACAGAAATTACAAACCATCAATTTTTAACCATTAAATCCATTAAAAATGGTTTTCTGTAGTGTGTTTTGGGACATATTCCATTAGGATTTATTGGTTTTAACAAGCCACCAATAGAAGGCAACCAATTACCAGTAGAGGCCAACAGGGTCCATTACAGTTTCCCTTAAAACCAATACAAGTCCCATTATAACCAGTAAAACCATTACAAATTTTCTAATGGTGTCTAATGTTTTATTCAGCAGGGGTTTTATTTTTTTAATATTCCCAAAATATATAATGAAATATCTCGATTCTCAAATATCGAGATAGCGGTGTTAGTGAGGCCAGCAGGGGGTGCTCACCCTGTAGTCTGTGTGGGTCCTAACACCCCAATGTAGTGACGGGGACACTATACTGTCAATAAGCACAGTCTTTCGGATGAGACGTTAAACCGAGGTCCTGACTCTCTGTGGTCATTAACAATCCCATGGCACTCATCGTAAAGAGTAGGGGTGAAACCCCGGTGTCCTGGCCAAATTCCCTCCACTGGCCCTTGTCAATCATGGCCTCCTAATAATCCCCATCAACTCGATTGGCTCAATGATTCTCTCTCCTCTCCACCTGTAACTGGTGTGTGGTGAGCGCACTGGCGCCATTGTCCTGTGGCTGCCGTCGCATCATTCAAGTGGATGCTGCATACTGCTGGTGGTTGAGGAGAGACCCCCCCCCCCCCACATGATTGTAAAAGCGCTTTGGATGTATAACAATACACAAGAAAGCGCTATATAAATGCATCATTCATTCATTCATTCATTCATTCAAGTAAATGCATTTTGCACCTTTATAGATTATGTTAGTTCTCTATACTATTAACTTTGCATAAAAATTCGTCTTTTTACTTAAGTACCAGATATGGTGTCATACCATTAAATATATTTAATACGACTGACTTTGTATTTAATGTGAAGTTAATAAAAACATAGTAAGTTACTAATTAACGTTAGCCTATAACACTTTCATTGTACAAAAAGAGAGCAAAGAACGTTTACACTATCAGAGAACATTTTCACTTCAGTCCAGCGAATTCAAGCACTCTCAAACTCCCATAATAATCTCTAAAGCTGTTTACACTGTAAAATTAATATCTTACTTGCATTCGTACATCTTCACTTTGTTGTTTCTGATGAGATAATTAGCCAGAGATTGCAGTCAGGCAGCGCGCGCAGTGACGAAACAGCGTGTTTCAGCGGTGACTCATCTGAACGTCTCTGATTGGTCTTTGTATTCATAAACTCAACATAATAGTATGGGATTGGTTATAATGTGCAGCGCTTTAAAAACGTGTGTGTCTCTGGCTCTGTGCCAGCCAGCGAACGCAGATTTGAATTTAGCTGCTGGAGATGTTTTTCTTTTTTTATATGCATAGTTTACAGGACAAACTGCGCATTTCACCTAAAATTGTTTGGTGTGATATGATTCCAAATTTAGGGGGGGGGCCAATGGGGGGGGGGCACTGGCCCCCCCCTAGAACTGCCCCTGAGTTGGTTGCAGTTGCTAGAGTGTTCTGGGGTTGTTGCTATGCAGTTGCTAGGGTGCTCTGAGTACAGCAACACTAGCAACTGCATAGCAACCAAGTACAGAACACCCTAGCAACACTCTGTAGATGCTAGGGGATTCTGGGTTGTTGGCAGGGTGTTGCTATGCAGTTGCTAGGGAGTTCTGGGCATAGCAACACCCTAGAAATTGCATAGCAACACCCCAGCAACTGCATAACGACCACTTTTAATACCATATGCATAACGACCACTTTTAACACCCTATGCAGTTTCTTTGGTTTCCTAGATGGTGGCTAGACTGTTGCTATGCCCAGAACACCCTAGCAACCACACATAATGCCCTGGTAACCACCAAGTACGGCCTAGAATCCACCCATAAAACTCTAGCAACCTGGTTGAAAAGATTAAACAGTTTACCAGTTAGTTGCAGTTGCTAGGGGATTGTGTGTTATTGCTAAGGTGTTCTGTGCATAGCAACACCCTAGTAACTGCATAGCAACTCTCTAGCACCTAAAAAACACGAAATGGCATAACAACCACTCTCAATGCTCTAGAAACCACCAAATACACCCTAGCAACCCACCAGAACCCCCTTACAACATGGATGAAAAGATTAACCAGTTGTTAGTTGGTTGCAGTTGCTAAGGGAATCCATGTTGTTGCTAGGTAGTTGCTACATTGGTAGGGTATTGCTATGGCAATGGCTGCATTGCAACCCAGTTGAAAATATCAACTAGTTGCTAGTTGGTTGCTGTTTCTAGGGGATTGTGGGTTGTTGCTAGGGTGTTCTGGGCATAGCAACTGCACAGCAACACCCTAGTGACTGCATAGCAACTCTGTAGCCTGCTACATTTGAAATATGAATGAATAACATTTGAAAGTCACAAAGGTTTGAAACGACATACGGGTGAGTAAATGATGACAGAAACAATCCCTTTAAGAAGAGCAATTCATCTCACATTCGTCTCATAAATGAATTTGTCTCACATGGACTCGTGCTGAAAATGCCACACGGCTGTGCAGTTAAACACTAATCTCTTCAGTCTCGATTGACCAATTACTTTGCCATTTATGAAGGGAACACCATCTGGAAGATGTGATTTACTCAAAAACTGGTACAAACAAGAGAAACAACACTCACAAACACAGGAACACACACACACAAACACACAGTAGCACCATAGTAATGACCCAGCATCCCCTAGAAACTGCACAGAAACACATGTGCAATGACCCAGAATCTCCTAGCAACTGCGCAGCAACACCCTAACAACCACCCAAGTGTTCTGGGTGGCTGCTATCCAGTTGCTAGGGTGCTCTGGGCATAACAACTGCATTGCAACACCTTAGCAGTGACCCATAATTCCCTAGCAACTGCATAGCAACATTTGGGTGTCCTGGGTGGTTGCTAAGGTGTTGCTATCCAGATTTTAGGGTGCTCTGTGGCATAGTAACTGCATAGCAACACCTTAGTAATGACCTATAATCCCCTAGCAACTGCATAGCAACACCCGGGTGCTCTGGGTGGTTACTAGGGTGTTGCTCTCCAGTTGCTAGGGTGCTCTGGGCATAGTACTGCATAGCAACACATTAGCAATGACCCATAATCCCCTAGCAACTGCATAGCAACACCCGGGTGTTCTGGGTGGTTGCTAGGGTGTTGCTATCCAGTTGCTAGGGTGCTCTGGGCATAGTAACTGCATAGCAAAACCTTAGCATTGACCCATAATCCCATAGCAACTGCATAGCAACACCCAGATGTTCTGGGTGGTTGCTAGGGTGTTACTATGCAGTTGCTATGGTTCTCTGGGCATAGTAACTGCATAGCAGCACCTTAGCAACGACCCATAATCCCCTAGCAACTGCATAGCAACACCAGGTGTTCCGGGTGGTTGCTAGGGTGTTGCTATCCAGTTGCTAGGGTGCTCTGGGCATCTGTTAATCCAGCCATCTCTCTACAGTATCTATCCTCCAATCTCATCTATTTATACAAAATCTATAGTTTTCTACTGTCTTTCAGTAAGCCAGCTGTCCGTCATCATAAGTCCTGCCCACTACAGGAAGTGAGTGCTCTGCAGCAGTGTGGTGTAGTGTGGGTGGAGTCTCACCGGTCAACAGGAAGGTGCAGCGTCCCGGCCCCACCTCGTTGATGACGTCGCAGGTGTACTCGCCGTAGCCCTCGCGCACCAGGCTACGTACGATGTAATCGGTGTCATCACGTGAGTCGAAGGTGCCGGCGTGCAGCAGCCGCGAGCCCAGCCTCCACTCATAGCGTAGCACACGGGACGGATGAGCACGCAGAACGCGGCAGTTCATGGACACCTGCCGACCCAAACCCTGCCGCACCTCCTGCCACACCGGCTCCACTGCCGGAGGATCTAAAAGAGACGGGTGGAGAAAAACGCATTACTGCAGCGCATCACATAACAATACAAACATACAAGAAAATACTGACCTAAAACATTGAGGATGCACTGGAAAGACTACACTATATAAGGTGCCCTTAGCATACTATTTCCAGCATACTGTGATGAAGACATGAGTAAAATAAAATAAAATAAAAGGAAGTAAAATAAAATCTGTATTACCACTTAGTTTGGTCTGGAAGTCAACCCCCCCACCAAAAAAATAAATAAAATAAAATAAAATAAAAAACTGTATTATACATTCATACAAAGTGTCAAATGTCTGGAATTACTGGAAACTGGAAATACAATAAAAAAAAATACAATAAAATAAAAGCTTTATTATACATACAAACTGTCAAATGTCACTATTACTGGAAACTGGAAATTCGAAACAAAACATCACATAACAATACAAACATACAAGAAAATACTGACCTAAAACATTGAGGATGCACTGGAAAGACTACACTATATAAGGTGCCCTTAGCATACTATTTCCAGCATACTGTGATGAAGACATGAGTAAAATAAAATAAAATAAAAGGAAGTAAAATAAAATCTGTATTACCACTTAGTTTGGTCTGGAAGTCAACCCTCCCACCAAAAAAATAAATAAAATAAAATAAAATAAAAAACTGTATTATACATTCATACAAAGTGTCAAATGTCTGGAATTACTGGAAACTGGAAATACAATTAAAAAAAAATACAATAAAATAAAAGCTTTATTATACATACAAACTGTCAAATGTCACTATTACTGGAAACTGGAAATTCGAAACAAAACAAAAATAAAATAAAATAAAATAAAAGCTCTATTATACGTACTAGACATATGGCGGTAATCGGTAACGCGATATATCACGATAATGAACATGCACTTCAAAATACCGAGAATAATTATTTATTAAAAATTATTCAGAATTCTGAATGCATTTTAAATAGTTTAAACAGCCATCCAGATTTGTGTATTCGTACAACATGCCCTAGACACTGTTTAAAAATGTTTTGATTCTTTATTGCTCTGTCACACTTTACATTAGGGCTTCATTAGTTAACATAAGTTAATTAATTAGTTAACATAAATTGCCAATGAAAAATTATTCTAAACATTCATTAATCTTAGGTAATTCCAATATTTAATAACACGTTGTTAACCCATTTGTGCCCACATTTTTCTGAATGGTTTCATGCATACAGTCATGTTAATAGTGCCTATGTCAACATGTTCTGCATTTATTTTCCTCAGGTTTTTTTCTTTAGTTTTCTTAAAAATCATATTTGAATGTGGGCAAATATGTTGTATGCACACCTTCAATGTCAAATTTGAATAGGAGGAGAACATTTGGCATCTAACTCAAAATAACTGTTTCCAACAGATCAATCTTTATTCATAAACAAATTTAAAATCTCTTGAATATGAAAACAAACAACAAATCCATTTATCTTAAAGTGCAGCCATAAGTTGCCTCAACAGGGCATTGTGTATCAAAAAGTTATATAAAAATAAATAAATAAAAATAAATAGAATGAAGAAAAAATTACATCTATGTAACAAAAAAGAAAGAAAATTACGCATTTTTAGGCCCATATTATTCAATTTTAGTCGATTGTAGTAGGTGATTTCATTTAATGTAAATGTAAACTCATTACTGAACTTCAACATTATAATGGAATCATAAGCTACTAGTCATAAAAAGAATTAGGGTCCTTGACCGATTAGAATGAAATGCATCCAAACTGGATGTCTTGCCCCTTACAAGACATAATATCATTTTTTCATTCTTCCTTTTGTGGGACTTACTGAAGTTTGTAAACTGCTGCTGTCGTAAAGTGTAGTATGTAGCTATTGCTGATTGTGAATGTTAGTGCATTAACTAAGGTTAACTAATGAGATCTTATTGTAAAGTGTTACCTATTGGTCTTTATAATTCTTTTGCACTTTAATCTGTGTAAAAAAAATGTTGTATTTAAATGTTCAGTTATTTTTGTTACAAGAAAAGGGTTTTTAAACCTATTATACTGTATTATGACAAACCTTTTTTTGCAACTAAATTTAAATACCGTGATAATACCGTATACCGTGATAAAAGCATGACCAAACTGGATGTCTTGCCCCTTACAAGACATAATATCATTTTTTCATTCTTCCTTTTGTGGGACTTACTGAAGTTTGTAAACTGCTGCTGTCGTAAAGTGTAGTATGTAGCTATTGCTGATTGTGAATGTTAGTGCATTAACTAAGGTTAACTAATGAGATCTTATTGTAAAGTGTTACCTATTGGTCTTTATAATTCTTTTGCACTTTAATCTGTGTAAAAAAAATGTTGTATTTAAATGTTCAGTTATTTTTGTTACAAGAAAAGGGTTTTTAAACCTATTATACTGTATTATGACAAACCTTTTTTTGCAACTAAATTTAAATACCGTGATAATACCGTATACCGTGATAAAAGCATGAGCAATTAATCGCAACATGAAAATTTGATACCGGCATATGCCTAATACGTACATACAAACTGTCAAATGTCACAATTACTGGAAACCCAAAACAAAACAAAGCAAATTAAATAAAAAAAACAAAATAAAAAGCTGTATTATACATACGAACTGTCAAACATCATCGCTAGCAGAAACTGGAAATCCAACAAAAAATTAAATTAAATTAAATTAAATTAAATAAAATAAATACAAATAAAATAAAATACAATTATAAAAAAAATAAAAAAATAAAATAAAAGCTGTATTATACATACAAACTTTAAAACATCCCCATTAACGAGAAATTGGAAATGCAACTAAAAAAAATGATTAAATAATCATGCATTAATGTCTATTTTGGCATTTAAATGTATGTATTTGGCAGATGCTTTTATGCAAAGCAGCTTGCATTGAAAGTATGGATTTTATCCATGTGAAATCCTTCAAATAAAAGGTGCTCATTTAAGTATTTTCTCTTTTTATTTAGATCCTGACGGACTCAAATTGAATCACTGAATAATTCATATAAAATGAATGAATCAGAATGAAACTTGAGTTCAAAACCAAAGACTCGCGAAAACAAGCACTCGACCGGAAACAACTAGTGAAATTAAATAAAATAAAAAATACATAAAAGCAGCAAACAGTAAAACTAAACACTCAAAACAACCTAAAACAACACTGATAAAATACTAATAAAATAATATACATATAACCAATAAAGACACAAAACAGTTACACTGATATTAATCAAATTCTAAATCAATGCAGTAAAGTTGCATGGAAAATCTAATCAAATAAAGTCAGATCTAAATGCATGCTCAGATGCATACAATGAGGATCCACTATAAACAGTGCACTATATAGGGAGCAGCTCCACACGAATGGCCTGGAGAAAGCCTTTAAATAACATTTGTATTATTTCAACCGGCTGAAATTAATTTCTGTGTATCAGTAAAGAGCCACATGAAGGGTGGTTTAAGCAGCGCTGGAGGAGGAGAGATAAACACAGAGCTCTTGATCCTCCTGCAGCTTCACTCCATCCAGAAGACCCAAGCAGATTTAAAGAGAGGCTAAACCAAACACATCTGAGATCATCTGAAACGCACACGCTGAGAGACGAAGAGCTGAAAGAGCTGCAGAAGTGAGTCATACGATGACAAATGCACATGTGGGAGTTTTTCGTCTGGATGCAATGATATAGATGGTGTTTGCTTCCGGAAAAAACAACATACAGTAGAATTACAAGGCTTTTACAGAAATGCTGCTGGATTTATGAAGGGTTTCACTTTCACCTTCTCTTTCTAAATTGAAGCAAATGCGGTTCAATCTGAAAGAGACTCAAACCGGTCCAGAAAGTGCAGTCATATAATAAAGCAGCTTTTATCATCCAGCGCTGATGTTTCTCCAAACAGGAGATGAACAGAGGAACTGTGTTTGTTGATGACGAGTGAATGCATTTCAGTGTCTGTCAGTACAAACATCTACAGCTGAGACTAAAACAAAGCTGACGTTATTAGCTGTTATTATATGTGACCAGATGTTATTTAGAACAACAACAAAAAAACTGAATCAAAAGAAGGACAGATCATTTTAGTTATTCAGCTGTCCATTATTAATCTTCTCCTGATCCATATTAAATGTGCCAAAAAAGGTTAAAAAAAACTTTAGATAATACCTCAAATTTCTTGAGTTTTCTCAACTTATTGGGGTTTACAGTGTAGGAGGTGATCTTGTTCTTCACTAAAAATAAATAAAAGCTATTTAGAAATGACAAAAACAGCAACAACAAACTAATAAAAATTACAAACACATCACAACATAACCAAAACAAAAATGTAAATGATGTCTACACACATATAAATGCAAGCTAATTCAAAATATAAATGAATACTTTAATAATACTAAATAAAAAAATCAAATCAAATCTGTATTATTAATATGAACTCTTTCCAGAGAGTAAGACATCAGAACGGCGTGATCAGATGTGATGAGGACATGTATGTTCACAGGATTTATGATGTTGTTCTCTGCTCTGAGATATAAATCAGTGGATCTGGATGTTTACTGGACTCAGACATATTGGTCTTTCTGCTCAGGTCAATATCGTCAATATTTCAGTACAGATTTACAGCACTGCAGCGAACAGAAGAAATCGATGCAGAAGGAGAAATGATTAAAACAATAACCTGCACTGCTCTTCAGCACTGTTCTCTGACAGCTGTCAATCAATCAATCAATCAATCAATCAATCAATCAATCAATCAGTGCAGACTCAGGACGTGATCTGAAGCTGTAAAATGCACAGACTTTCCGTAGAGATTCATGTTTCTCATGAATACAATTAAGAAAACACTTAAAAGGACTTCAAGGCTTTACTTTCATCATCCTCATGAAAGTATGCCAGTTTTTGTCTCAAACCTAAAGGCTGCAACACACCAGTTTTTGTTCCGTGCTGAGTTTTGCAATCGAATCCTTTCATTATAACA